CCCGAACACCCTAGGCAATTACTTCTTTTACAACCATCTATAAATATAATTAAAACAACAATGGTGACATTACAAATCCCTGTCTAACATAAGACCTACTTTTACGGGAAAGTATTTCTCCCTCTCTTCTACACACCCTAACCTGAGCCTCACTATTCCTCATAAAAGCTCTTTACAGCATTTAGTAACAAAACTTAACACCTATTCCATAACAACTTGCAACATCTGCCACAATGCTCCTCTATCCCACTCTATAATGCCTTTTCTAAATCCAATAAATGCAATAAAAAACTTCCGGCCTTTATCTAAAACTGTTCAATATATGCTTCAATGTAAAAACACTTGATCTACACATCCCCTACCCACTACTGAAGCCTCCTTGCTTCATCCGCAATTCTTACATTCTGTCTCTACCTCCCCTAATTCTTTCAATTATAACCCTACCGTATACTTTTCCTGGTTATACTCAGTAAACTTATTCCTCTATTAATTTTTACAATCTCTTTTGTCCCCTTTCCTTTTATATAAAGCGGACTATACATGCTCTCCGCAATACCTAGGTACCTTCCCCTCTTTTCATCATTTATTAAACAAAAGTACCAACCACTCCAACACTATATCCCCCCTGCTTTTAACATTTCTGTCAATATTCCCATCAGTTTCCAGCTGCATTACCCCCTTTCATTCTACTTATGCTCACGTACCTCCACCACACTTACATTCTGCTCTTTCTTCACTCCTAAAAGATGGTATACCTCCCTGGCCAGTGCATGAAAATTACCACCCTCCCCTTTCTTCCTCAACATTTTAAAGTTCCTCATAAATATTATCGCCATCTACTAATACCTCCCTCTCCCCATCTACTAAAAATAAATAATAAATAAATATAAATAAATAAATAAATAAATAAATAATATAATATATATTTATATATTAGATAATATATATAAATATATATTATATATATATATTATATATATATATATTTATATTTATATATATATTATATATATATTTATATATTGGATAGCAGATGAACCAAGGAGGCTTTAGGAAAGTGTAGGGGGGATGTGTGGACAGGTGTTTACACGTGAAACATATAAAAGCCCCGTGAACAGTATTTAGATAAGGCTAAAGAGGTCTTTGTGGGATTATGGATTTGGAAAACAAGGCGTTAGTTATGACAGGGCTGGATAGGGGGGCCAATGTGGCAGATGTTGAAGTGTATGGTGTAGGAGGTAGGTTACGGAATGCAGTGAAGAGTTTTTACGAGGATAGTGAGGCTCAAGTTAGAGTATGTAGGGAAAGAGGGAAATTTTTTCCAGTAAAAAGTAGGCTTAGACAAGGATGTGTGATGTCACCGTGGTGTTTAATATATTTTATAGATGGGGTTGAGAGAAGTAAATGCGGGGGTCTTGACAAAAGAGGCGGTTGGAGTTAGTTAAAAGATAAAGAATCACACACAAAGTGGGAGTGTCACAGCTGATCTTTGCTGATGACACTGTGCTCTGGAGATTCTGAAGAAAGTTGCAGAGATTGGTGGATGAATTTGGTAGGGTGTGCAAAAGAGAAAATTTAAAGGTGAATACAGGAAAGAGTAAGGTTATGAGCGATAAACAAAAAGATTAGGTGATGAACATGAAAGATTGAATAATCAGGATTGGAGGGAGAGGGAGAGTATGGAAGGAGGTGAACGTATTCAGCTATTGGGAGAGGACGTGTCAGCGGATGGGTCTTATGAAAGATGAGGTGAATCATAGAATTGATGAGGGAAAAAAAAGGTGAGTGAATGGTGCACTTAGGAGTCTGTGGAGACAATAGAACTTTTGTCCTTGGAGGCCAAAAAGAGGGGTATGTATGAGAGTATAGTTTTAACCAACGCTCTTATATGGTTGTGAAGCGTGGGTTGATGAATGTTGCAGCGAGGAGAAGGTGGAGGCAGTGGAGATGTCAGTCTGAGGGCAATGTTGTGGTGTGATATATAATGCAGAGAATTTCGTAGTTTGGAAGTTAGGAGGAGGTGGGGGGCGGGATTACCTAAAAAATGTTGTCCAGGAGGGCTCTGAGGAAGGGTTCTGTTGAGGTGGTACGGGACATGTAGAGAGCAATGGAGCGAAAACAGAATCGACTTCAAGGATGTATCAGTCTGTAGTGGAAGGAAAGGCGGGAGTAGGGGATCGGCCTAGGAAAGGTTGGAGGGAGGGGGTAGTAAAGGAGGTTTTGTGTGCGAGGGGCTTGTGGAACTTCCAGGAGGCATGCATGAGCGTGTGTTTTTGATAGGAGTGAATGGAGACAAATGGTTTTTAATACTTGACGTGCTGTTGGAAGTGTGAGCAAAAGTAACATTTATGAAGGGATTCAGGGGGAAACCGGCAGGGCCGGACTTGAGTCCTGGAGGATGGGAAGTACAGTGCCTGCACTCTGAAGGAGGGGTGTTAATGTTGCAGTTTAAAAACTGTTAGTGTGTTAAAGCACCTTCTGGCAAGACAGTATGATGGAATGTGAATGATGGTGAAAGTTTTTCTTTTTCGGGGGCCACCTGCCTTGGTGGGATCGGCCGTGTGATAATAAAAATAAAAAAAAAAAATATATATATATATATATATATATCTATATAATATATATATATATATAATATATTATATATATTTATATATATATTATTATATATTATATATATATATATATTTATATTTTCAACAGTTATGCATGTGCATGCATGTGTAATATGACCTACGTGTAAGTAAAAGGAACAAGACATACCTGAATTCAACCTTGTATGTTTATGAGACAAAAAAAAAAAAAAAAAAAAAAAAAAACACCAGCAATCCTACCATCATGTAAAACAATTACATCTTTCCTTTTCACATTCACTTGGCAGGGCAGTAGCACTTTCCTGGGTGGCTGCTGTCTACCAATCTACTACTTAGGCATTAGAAAATTATTCTCCACCATATTAGAAGCTAAAATAATTTTTATTTTTTTCAGACTTGTGGATACAGAGGGGGCTTTCAATTTGGGGTGTGTGGGTAGTAGAGGTGGCCTGTGGCTTGGTGGCAAAAGCTCTCGCTTCACACACTGAGGGTCTGGGTTCGATTCCTGGCAAGGGTAGAAACATTGGGCGTGTTGCCTTACACCGGTTGTCTATGTTCACCATCAGTAAAAATGGGTAACTGGGTGTTAGTTGACTGGTGTGGGTCACATCCGGGACAAAATTGACCTAATTTGCTCAAAACGCTCTGCATAACAAGCGGCTTTCTATATATGTAGTACTGTAGTAGTATGACTGATGTCAGCTAGGCCTGTATACCTTGTACATGTATTTGTAGAAATAAAGATATTATTATTATTATTAAAGGTTAACTAACTGTACCATTCTACTTCTCATATACAATTCAGCTTTTACAAGGTACAAACGATGGTACTTTAAAATTAACATAAAAGTTTGAGTACCATACCCATTAGGCCAATTTTTCCTGTTATAATAACATATGCAAAAATGTATCCCTCCACAATACACAGGTCACAAAAAATGAAGTTGAGAGTAACTTTTCAATGTTGCATTACACATATGGTTTCTTGCATAGTTGGCAAGTCTTATCCTAGTTATACTAGTCACTAACAGCACTTTGTATGAATTTTTTTTTTTATCAACAGGTCAGCCGTCTCCCACCGGGGCAGGGTGACCCAACAAAGAAAGAAACACTTTCACCATCATTCATGTAGAATCGGTCTTTGCAGAGGCGCTCAGATACAACAGTTCAGATGTCATCCCAAACCCCTCCTTTAAAGTGCAGGCATTGTACTTTCCACCTCCAGGACTCAAGTCCGGCTAATTGGTTTCCCTTAATCCTTTCACAAAATATTACCTTGTTCACACTCCAACAGCTCGTCAGGTCCCAAAAAAATCATTCATCTCCATTCACCCCTATCTAACATGCTCACAGATGCCTGTTGTATGTCAAAGCCCCTTGCACACAAAACCTCTTTTACCACCTCCCTCCATCCTTTCCTAGGATGACCCCTACCCCTCCTCCCCTCTACTATAGATTATATATCCTCCAAGTCAACCTATTTATCTCCATCCTCTCTAAATGACCCAAACATCTCAATAACCCCTCTTCAGCCCTCTGAATAATACTTTTAGTAACTCCACACCTCCTAATTTCCATACACTGAATTTTCTGCATAATATTTACACCACAAGGCCCAGTCTCAGACTGAGCCATGGGGGCATTGACCCCCAAAACCCTCTCTAGGTATACTCCAGGTATGCACATTACCCTTAGACACAACATCTCCACTACCTCCAGCCTCCTCCATGCCGCAGCATTTACAACCCATACTTCACACCCATAAAAGTGTTTGTATTAATATACCTATAGACTAAACATACTAGTCAATTTAATAAGCAATAATACTTCTGAATACTTATAGGTAGTAGGCTGGAAGACAGCAACCGCCCAGGGAGGTACTACGGAAGCCTGTAATTGTTTTACATGATGGCAGGATTGCTGGTGTCTTTTTATTCTGTCTCATACACATGCAAGATTTCGGGTACGTCTTGCTACTTCTTACACTTAGGTCATGCTACACATACATGTACAAGCATATATATACACACCCCTCTGGGATTTCTTCTATTTTCTTTCTAGTTCTTGTTCTTGTTTATTTCCTCTTATCTCCATGGGGAAGTGGAACAGAATTCTTCTTCCATAAGCCATGCATGTTGTAAGAGGTGACTAAAATGCCAGGAGCAAGGGGCTAGTAACCTCTTCTTCTGTATATGTTACTAAATGTAAAGGGAGAAACTTTCATTTTTCATTTTGGGCCACCCCACCTCGGTGGGATATGGCCGGTTTGTTGAAAGAGAAATAAAGAAGACTTCTGAATGCTATGGTAAGTATAAAAGATCATTATGCATTTACCATGCTATATAACAAAGTAAAATCTGTATGAATAGAGTGATTAAAAAAATTTGTTTAAAACTGTGAACTTACTGTGAGAGCCTAATTCTCATGTCATTCATAGAAAGATTGCCTGCATGAGGATGGCCTGGGGTCAGCTCCATCAGTGATGGGTAAGGACCAGATGCCATCCACACTCGATAATTGTGAGTTTCTTTCCAAGCACTCATGAAGGTTCCATTGAATACTTCCCATTCTCGGCTGCCCTCTGATGGTCAAAGAGTCAGTGAACAATTATAAAATGGGGTAATCTATTTAATATAAAAAGAGGTACATTATTGTGTGCCACCCAATTCATACATCAATACTAATTTAGGCTTCAAACATTACTTCATTTAAATCCAAATATTTGCTAAAACTATTTTGAATGTACACAGTTTCTACATCTTAAATACAGTACTGTATATGACTATGATTACTCATCCACCAGACAAGGTTGCTTCTAGAAGTAACAAAGCTTAAAATACAAGTATTGTCATATCTGTCACTGAAAAACCACTTTTTTATTATCCTAACTATGAAATAAATCTGAATTACTGACTTGTTATTGTTCTATATTGTAAAAAACACATGTACAGTAATTATTGAGATAATTAAATCCAATATAGTTGTTCAAAGAGCAAAGTCAAATAGATTTCCAAAAATAATAAGGTACTGATTAAGCTGTGGGATTACATCACTTTGAATATTTGTTGGAAAACCCCTTGTTATAAAGTATTTTGGGCAGACTGTAACTTATGAAACTACTTAATACCTGCACTAATATAGGCATTTGGATAAGGGTTTTAATGTAAAGATAAAGATTTTATTTCTTTGTAAAGGTTACTATGTGTAATTACAATTTTGGTTTGCTAAGTACAAAGAAAGCCACTATCATGCCGGGAACATTTTGGGTAGATTAATCCTAGTACATAATAACTACTTAAATCTAGACAAGAGCGGTTAACTTGTATTAAACTGTTTATTTAATCTTAATACTAATGTGAGGGAGTTGAGGTGGAGGTTCAAACATTAATATTTCATGGATGGGCAGATGTTTAACAGACTAGAGGTCATATAATATAATAGTTGGAAGAGTTGCTTCAATGTATAATTTTAGTTGCAAGTGCAAATTCAGCACAAATAATTTCTGCATACAACTAAGTTTTTTTTTATTACAATAGGGAGGCAGTACTTGAATAAATTAGCAGAAATACAGTGGTGTCCCTTCTTTTATGCTCAGCCCATCAACTGCTTGTTCAGTCAGTAAATTGTGTTGCTGTCTTCATAGTCCTTTCAGGTATTGTAATTATTATCATAATACTTATTCAAAATGATACAATGAATATGGGATTTGTGAAAAGTAAAAAATTATATATTTTTTGTAATTAATTTCAAATTCCCATGTATTGTATTTTCTAAATAAAATTTGGATTCAAAGATAGAAAAATCAATGTAGGGTCCTTTTGGATGTTCCATAAGTCCACATTAAAATATTAACAAGAGGACTGCCAATAATGAAGCAAGGAAGAAATGTAAAACAATGTTCACCTGCACACACAGATGATCGCAAGAGAGAGAGGAGGTACACCTTAAACTGATAACGTAGCCATTCTTCACCACCGACCCAGCCAACACCTTCAAGAAACACATCTGGGTGGTTCTTTATGGGAGAGGTGCCATTGGGAGCTTTGTTATTCAAGGTTGCACTTACTGCCTCTACCTATAACAAAAAAAAAAAATTACTTTAAACCACAATTTTTTTGTTTATATCTCAGGTGTTGAAATTACTTATGTGCAACTACAAATGTGTGTATATGCCTGTGTGTTATGGCTTTTAGGCAGACTTAGTCAAACATGTCAAATTTTCTTTAAAACTTTTTTTTCTACACTTTCAATATAAATTAACCCTTTAAGTGTATTTTTAAAATTATAATTATAGTTCATATACACTACATATACTTTAAATCTTGTACACAGCAATATTTAGTAACTACCTGACGAACGATGTTTTCTGCAAATCGCAGATCTTCTGTAGACAAGCTCAGCTGACGTTTCAAATCTGGATCAGGTATCTCAATTTTCCCTTCCTCTAGCTATGAAACAGGAATTAGGCAAAAGTGAAAATATTAATACAAGATTACTGTACACAAATGCTGAAAACTGCACATACGAAATTTATATAATGAATTTATATAATGAATTCAAGAGTGAAATCCATAAATCTGGCATTAGATATACTGTTTAATTTTTATCCTCTGTAACTGTGAAAGGTTATGTACCTGAGAAGTTCAGGAAATATAGGATCTGCAAATCTGTATCAAATGCCCTAGACAAACTGAGTTAAATGAAAATGGTGTAAAATACCAACAAGTTGATGAGCAAGATGTGTGTGCAACTGCTGCACAAAACTAGGGATGCCAAGCCCATGATGATTCTCTTAAATTGTTTGTTCTTTCTAGGCTGGAATAATGCTGTACACTAACTGCCCCCTTCAAGGCAGGCAAAGTTGCTGACTGAAGAGTGCATGAAGAACTTTCACAGCACACATAAGTACGATAAGGCACCTAAATTACTGGGAATGGTTGAAGTCTCTTGATCTGTATTTCCTGGAACGCAGACGAGAGAGATACCATATTTTGCGGCTTATTAGACACATTTTTTTTTTCCATAAAATGTCTCCAAAAACCACCCTGCGTCCTATAAATTGAAGATCAGTGGCGGGGGCTGTAAGTCTGGGGTGAGGGGTGGGCTGTAGCTCTCCCAGTTATGTCCGATGCCGAGCCATTGAAACTAAAACAAGTCTTATAAGCCATGAAATACGGTACAGGTTAATACAGTAGTACCTCAGGATACGAACAACTCAAAACTCAAACAATTATTTATTTATTTATTTATGTCTTTGCAAATACAGTGGACCCCTGCTTAACGATCACCTCCCAATGCGACCAATTATGCAAGTGTATTTATGTAAGTGCGTTTGTACGTGTATGTTTGGGGGTCTGAAATGGACTAACCTACTTCACAATATTCCTTATGGGAACAAATTCGGTCAGTACTGGCACCTGAACATACTTCTGGAATGAAAAAATATCGTTAACCGGGGGTCCACTGTAGTACATTGAGATTATGTGTTTACAATAATGGGTTGCAATGCAAAGAGAGCCTCTATAATGCCTAGGCATTATGGGCTGACTTAACATTATTGGCTTACTGACTACTTAACACTAAGAATTATATCACAGTTGTACAGTAGAATATTAATTATATCATAGTTGTACAGTAGATTATTAATTATAAGTAAATCTAATTTATGTAGGTAGTAGGTTGGTAGACAGCAACCGCCCAGGGAGGTACTACCGTCCTGCCAAGTGAGTGTAAAACGAAAGCCTGTAATCGTTTTACATGATGGTAGGGTTGCTGGTGTCTTTTGTCTGTCTCATAAATATGCAAGATTACAGGTAAGTCTTGCTACTTCTACTTACACTTACGTCACACTACACATACATGTACAAGCATATATATACACACCCCTCTGGGTTTTCTTCTATTTTCTTTCTAATTCTTGTTCTTGTTTATTTCCTCTTATCTCCATGGGGAAGTGGAACAGAATTCTTCCTCTGTAAGCCATGCTTGTCGTAAGAGGCGACTAAAATGCCGGGAGCAAGGGGCTAGTAACCCCTTCTCCTGTATATATTACTAAATTTAAAAGGAGAAACTTCAGTTTTTTCTTTTGGGCCACCCCACCTCAGTGGGATACGGCTGGTACGTTGAAAGAAGAAGAAATCTAATTTATATAAGACAAGAGATATATTCATATTTTCAAAAATGCTTTTAGTGAAAACAATGATTCAATTATATTCCTGTCGACAATGGATGAAAGGTTCAAAAGTAATTGTTGAATTTATGATATGGGAATACATAATTGAGTATGTGAGTACTGAGTATTTAGCATTTAGTCTAGGGTGATTAAGTGGCTTTTGAGAAGAGTCTTAAATTGATTTTCAGACTGGGTTACTTTAGCATCTTCTGGTAATGAATTCCATATTTTGGGGCCCTTTATGTGCAGAGAGTTTTTACACAGTGTGATATGGACACGAGGTACATCAAAAAGAGATCCGTGTCTTGTGTTATGGGCATGTGTCCTGTTAAGGTTGGTGAGGAGAAGTTTGAGTGGAGGATTTATATTTACGTGTATTGTTCTGTGTACGTAGTAGGCACATGAATAAGTATGGATGTTCTTAATGGTAAGCAGATTTAGACTTTTGAAAATTGGTGGAGTATGCTCGTGGGAGTGGGAATTTGTTATCATTCTGACTGCTGCCTTTTGCTGGGTTATTAGAGGTCTTTGGTGATTTAATGTTGTTGATCCCCATGCACCAATTCCATATGTAAGATAAGGGTATATGAATGAATGGTACAGTGCCAGGAGAGCTGATTGTGGAACGTAGTACCATATCTTTGATAGATTTTCTTGGTGATTTGTTGTATATGTGTCTGGAACTTAAGGTGGATACCTAGGAATTTTCCCTCTGCAAGTCTTGTGACTGATGATCCATTTAGCGTTATGTTAAGTGGATCATTTGCAGCTTTGTTTCCAAACTGAATGAAATAGGTTTTATCAGTATTCAGGGTAAGTTTATTAGTCATCATCCAGGCAGATATTTTTTCCAATTCAGCATTGACAGTGTTGGCGAGTATGACTGGGTTTGGGTGGGAGAAGATGTATGTAGTGTCATCTGCAAATAATATGGGTTTGAGTAGCTGTGATGCATTTGGTAGATCAATGATGAAGATGAGAAAGAGGAGTGGTCCAAGGACACTTCCTTGTGGGACTCCTACTGTAATTGGTTGGGTGGAAGAGTTTGCACCATTTGCATACACATGTTGAATTCTGCTGATACCACAGTGCATTAATTTAGAGTACAGCAGTTCATGGTATACTGTATCAAAAGCTTTACGTAAATCAACGAAAATGCCCAGCGGGACTTCTTTCTTTTCGAGTGCTGTATATATTAGTTCTAGTACGTGTATGATAGCATCATTTGTGCTTTTATTATTCCTGAATCCAAACTGACAAGGACTTAATATGTTGTTTGAGACGAGGTAGGAATAGATCCGTCTATGAATTAATTTTTCAAAGATTTTATAGAATCATCGCCCCCAATTAGGGAGACATCTTATAAAACTTTCTAATGTAAAAATTATGCTATTTACTATGGCTGGACACCACCTGTAAGAAGCCATTGTCACGAAATTATAAACTGGCCAGAAAATTATTGCCTTTATTGTTGCATAAATATCCGTTGTGCAATCGCAAAAAAAAAAAAAAAAGAAAGAAAAAAAAAAAAAAGCAATTGCAACTTGTATAATTACTACCAATTCAGAGTCATGTACTTATATACCTATTATATCTATGTGACTCTGATGGGTTAGTTTTATACCCCTTAAAGAATATCTTATCATTTCACATACACTTTTTAAATTACACCAAAGTGGTTGGGCCACTTACCTTTTATATCCTACCTCTCCCCCCCTCCCACCCTTTTCCAATATTTCCATCCTTACCCATCCTTCTTCCTTACCCATCTTACCAAAGCTCTGGTCATAAGAAGAAGAAGAGAGCAGTGGTAAGTTAGATATTGGTCTATAGTTATTCAAGTCAGCTTGGTCACCTCCTTTATGGATCGGAGTGACCCTTGCTATTTTGAGGATTGTTGGGAAGGTAGATGATTCAATGGATTTGTTAGAGTGTTGCAATAATTGGTGACAATACATGAAAAGGTTTTTAGTACATAAAAGCAGGCAAGTTGTTTACGTCTCTTGCCTTGTTTTTAAGGGTGGTGATGATGATCGAGACTTCTAGTGGGTTGGTTGGAGGTAGGAATAGCGTATCTGGGTAGGTACCTATGAGGTAGTCTGATGGACGGGTGTTTGAGCTTGGTATTTTCGCTATTATTATTATTATTATAATCAAAAAGAAGCACTAAGCCACAAGGGCTATGCAGTGCTGCAGGGTAGGGAAGGAAGCGAGAGTATTGGGCGGTAGAAGGGGGGAGGGATGATCAGTAGGTTACAGAAAACAGTGGGGCAGGGGATAGTGCGGGGGTAGAGGGCAGCAAGAGATTGAGGTAGAAAGGGCTGAAGGTATCATCAGAGTTTGTGAAGTAAGTCAGTTGTTGTCAAAAAGTCAATGAGAGAGTCCGGATGAAAGGTGGATCCATCAGCGAGAAGGGAAGGTAAAAAGAGAGCAGCAGAGCGAAGACGACGTTGGAGGTATATTCTGCGTGCTCGTTGATAAAGTGGGCAGTCTAATAGAATGTGGCTAACTGATAATGGAACCTGACAATTCTCACAGAGAGGAGCAGGGCGCCTCTCCATGAGATAACCATGAGTAAGACGAGTATGGCCAATGCGAAGACGGGAGAGAGTAGTCTCCCAACCTCGACACTGGTGATAAGAAGACGGCCAGTAACCTATACTTGGTTTAATAGACTGAAGTTTGTTACTGAGCAGAGTAGACCAACGTTGTTGCCAATGGGTGTGAAGGTGGGAGACCAACGTTGTTGCCAACGGGTGTGAAGGTGGGTAGCTATTGCAGCAAAATAGTCCGTAAATGGAATACCTCTATATGAAACTGGTAGGTCATGTACTGCTGACCGCGCAGCAGAGTCTGCCTGTTCATTGCCCTGTACGTCAACATGACCAGGGACCCAACAAAAAACAATATCTTTATGCTTGGAAGAGATGCGGCGTAGCCAAAGTTGGATACGGAGGACTAAGGGGTGAGATGTATCAAATTTCTGTATAGCCTGTAAAGCACTAAGGGAGTCTGAGACAACCACAAATGATGACACAGGCATAGATGCAATACGGATAAGTGCTGCAAGAATGGCATACAATTCAGCAGAAAAGATACTAGCCAAAGATAGTAAATGCCCTCGTACGACGCTGTCCGGAAACATTGCTGCGAATCCTACGCCGTCAGAAGACTTAGAGCCATCTGTGTACACTGCAATGGCATGAGAATGAGAGTGGAAGTGGTCAAGAAAAAGAGAGCGGGAAGCTACTGTAGACAGTTGGGCTTTCGAGCAAG